CCAAATAAATTAAATGTTAAAATGTTACTTACCTTTGAATAATGCTTTCATTTCATTCCATCACTGAGTAGACGATCTGTTTGTAAAGATACAAAAATCCTAAGAAACATTGTAGCTGTGTACTCAGGTTGTTTCTTACGCCTTGAAAGGACTTGTGTGGTGGTATTTACGAAATAATTTTTTGAGTATCTACCTTCCTTGGGGTTTAATTCCAAACTTCCGGAAAATATAAAAAAGGGGTGGAGGAACTGCGGCAGTATCGGGATTTGAGTAAGTTTTCGTGTTTCACCTATATTTATCGCATTTACTGGTAGCAACAATGGTAAATTATTACAAAGATGTCAAGGACTGAATTATGGGTAAAACAGATGGTCATTAAATATTAGTTTTTTACGATTATCTCCATTTATTGCTCATTTATTGTTCACCATCCGTCGATATTACTTTTTAAAAATGGTAGTAAAAACTGGAAGATCCCTTGATATTGGAAGTGTTCACCTCTCTCAGGGTGAAGCCTGAAAAATCGAGCGTTGATAGGTCGGTGGGTCTTAACACCTAACCAGCTCTGGTTCTCATGAATATCGGAACTGAGGAGGCTGAACAAATTGCCATCGCTCCAATGGACGAGGATGTCCTCCTTGCAAGGGAAAATCAATTCCAAATCAGAGCTGACAATTGCAGTCATCAGTTATGTATCTGCCGCAACCTTGATGATATGCAGAACACACTGGCACTTATCCAAGATCTTTGACTAATTAAATCCAGAATAACTGGACCAATCAAGCAACTACAGCACCTATCCGTTTCTGATTCGTGAAGGTGGAATGTAACAATATTCCTATTCTTAACCAAGGTAGCAAACCAACATTTTATAGAATCTAGAAGTCAATCTACGATTGATATTACGTTCACTTCCAGCTATCTTTCAATCAGTCATAGACTGGCAGGTATCAGATACTGTTATAAAGTCCAACCATCGCTGGTTGACGGAAAGATTGGAAAGAACGCAGAAAATCCTTCAGAGACCCGCCGGGAAAGGAGCGAGTTCCTGGATCAACTTTTGGTGGATCTACAGCCTACAGGACGTGGTGGAGGATTTGCCCAGTGATAACAACAAACTGGAGAGCCGCATGTTCACTACAGACCGCCCAAATCAAGGCTTTTGAATCATCTCGTCATCACAGACAGGACTTCACGTGAGACGAAACTAGCTAAGAAGCTGCTTAACTACCCTAATGACGTTACAGTGAGGACGTATGTCACGTATGTGGCCATGTCGAGAACACATGTCTCACTACTGGTTGTTTGAGAGGTCATTGCCAGCTAAGCAAACATCTCTATTCAATGGGATTTTGCGAGCCACATCTTAGTTGCCCTCCGTACAGCAATTCACCTCTTCGGCTCGTGAATATAGAGTAGCTCCCTTTCATTTTCTGTCACAGTTCTATTTGCTATTATTTTATTGACTTCCGGGAGACGCGTTGATAAATTTGACACTGCATTCTTACCCTCTCTGATAACCCGCAATTTAACAGATTCAATCCTTTTAATTTACCATTTCTTGCCATGAATAAATGCAATAGAAATACAAACACCCTTTTTCCCAAATTTTCATGGCTGCTGTTCCCATCCTTTTTTTTGCGAAAACACCGAGTTCATTTTACATTTTTAATGGCTGCCTGCCAAACACGAAAAAAAAAAAAAAATGTTTCATAAATTCGCCAGCTCAGGTCATTCTACAGAACTAATAACAAAAATACAAAATTAATTGCAGTAATAATTATAACGATATTTCTTAGCAAAGTTTTATTAGTATTGGAACAGTGGAGAGATCATATTGGTGCATTTATCAAATAAAAATTTAAATAATTTAGTCAAAACTTACCCCCTGTGCATTGTTGGTACTGACCTAAAACAAAACAAAAAAATTACAATTTGGATATTGAGGGCAAAAGGTGAACGCAATCAACAAGAAATAAAAAAAAACGAGCTCAGGGAATATCAATTCACATCTAAACAATGCGACAAATTAATCTGCATGGTGGCACCCCGTTCCACGGATTTTTGTGGCATAGAAACAAGGAAAAAAATGCAACAATTTGCCCGCAATTTCCACAAAGAATCCAGAATAATGGCCACGCAGATGATAAAAAACAGGATAGTATTTTTCAAAACAACGGGCCTTTTTGCCGGGCATCCTAATAGGGCAGTCGACTTGAATCAATGACCAATAGAGATTAGACAAATGTTTTCTATTTATATTCGAGCTTATCTCAAGATTTTAAAGTTTTATGAATCCATTATCGAAGACTTAAATATTTCCAAGTGTAAGAGAATCTTTTGATCCCTTCGCTTCGTTCAGGCTGCGGGAGTAAAAGATCCGCTTTAGTCCCTAGGTATACAGGGTGGCAGAAAAGTCGCGCAGTAAGTATCTTTTTAATTACCTCGTATACGAAAAAGTGATTTTAATGAAAGTTGTTCAGTAAATTATTTCCCACATTTCTATTTAGACGAATTGTTTCTGTCACTTGTGGTTTGTTCGCTATCCAGACCAACTTTGTTTTTTCAAATGAAACACCCTGTATGTGATTGCATAATTAGATTCTGCTGAGAAAACTATGATTTTTTTGTATTTAAAATGTTCAGCTGTTTTCAACTGTTTCCGAGATAATGACAATTAACAACGATTAAATCAATTTTAGTAACAATCTTTAGAATATAATAAATAACCTAGAAAATTAAACATTTTCAGTGGATCAGGTTTTCGAAATGACCACCATTTTCTGCTATAAGCAGAGCGTCAGCCGATCCCTGAACCCATCTATATACAACGTTTAAAAGTATTATTCGTCGATTTTTATCTGACACTTTCCGCAAGGGGGTGAAGTATATGGCAAAAACAGGAGTGACGTCAGGTAACCATTGGCGTTCTAATGTAAGGTACCACCAGCTCACATTCATTTCGAGTATCAGATTAAAATCGACGGACTTTAAGTCCTCTGGTATGGCACGAATTTCAGCAATAATTCTGACTTTTAAAGATTCTATATCATTTGAATGGTTAACGTTGACTTTATTCTTCGAATATCCTCACAAAAAGAAGTCTAGCGGGATTAAGTCCATCGCTCAATAGGACCTCTTCTACCTAAATATCCAACGTCCTGGAAATTGTTCGTTTATGTATTGCCTAACATTTGCCGCATAATGCGCAGGTGCTCAATCTTGCTGGAACCATACCTGTTCGTTAACTCTAATTTATACCCAGTAAAACCATTCTGCAAGAAGGAATTATGTGATCGTTGATGAGGTCCAGATAATTTTTGGCATTCAAATTTACATCTATGCAGTGGCGGACCTAGGAATTTTGGGGCCCGACGCAAAAAAAATTTTGGGGCCCTGTCATCCTTTTTTTAGGTATTTTTCTTGTGGTGTTGGAGGCATTAGCTGATGTTACACACATAACCTCACTTTTGATAGAGGGACAAACAATGCGTTTGTTTGTCTCATGGTCATTTCCATCAACTATTCAAGGGAAGCCTTAACGATAAGTATTCCTCAAACTGATATTTCTCCATGTAAAACTGTCATTTTGAGGAACACCTTAAATAAAAGTTTTCCTAAAATATGTAGTTGGTGGAAACGGCCGTCAATGACATGTTTGTCCCCCTATCGAAAGTGACGTTATGTGATTTGTGAAGTAATTAGACTATCCAGTTAAATTGAAATGTCCGCCAAGAGGCTCACAAACCCTTTGTTTGATTATCAATGTCACATGTTTTAGATAGGTGACTAACCAAGATGCTGTCAAACTTAAATTAAAATGTCCGCCAATAGGCACAGAAACCCGTTGTTTGCTTGTCAAAGTCACGTGTTTTGGAAAGGGCTAATAGCCTATCGCTTAACCGATGTGTGTAAATAGTCTTTACACGTTTTGCTTGTCCCCCTTTCGAAAGTGAGGTTATGTGTGTGACGTCAGCATACACATAACCTTAATGACATGTTTGTACTCTTATTGAATGTCATTTTTGAGAAGCTAGCGCCTGTGCGTATAAATAGTCCTTTAAACGCTTTGTTTGTCCCAATGAACTATAACCCAAGAGCTGGAATGCGCACGCTGATTGGCCATATCCGTCAAAAAAAATTGCCGAAGAAAAGAATGCGGACAAAAAAAATTGACAGATGCGTCAACTCCTCCCCTTGACAGTAGGTACATCAATAAACAGGGAAAAGTCATTGAATTGGCTGCAGATGATTGAAATCCATTATCATCTCTGTCCATTACCGCTACCTTCATAAAAACAAGCTTGACGAGGTTCACGATACAACCCATCAATCACCATGTGTGTCTGCCATTTCTCTGCTCTTCGCCCTTAGACGTCGCTGGCAAAATTAAATTTGACAGACTTCAAGAACATATGAGACAATATGAAGACAAGTTCAACGAAAAAATAATTATTTGTAAAAACTCAGAAACTTTCTATCCAAACAAAAAGAAATACAACATGTAATGTAGTTGTCTGTCTTCACATACAAAAAGATCAAAAAAGTAAAATATGCGTCACGCGCGTCCGCGGTTGCCGCATCGCGTCAAGCACACCAGGTTTTCCAGAGGTATACAACGTTGCCGTAACTTTCAAAATTTAATTTTCGATTCTTTTTCATATTGATGGGTTTATTTTTTTTTTTTTTTTTTTTTTTATCAATGCCTTTAGAATCCGGTTGTGTGGGGGCCCTTCAGCTCTGGGGGCCCGACGCAGAGTGGGTCGTTTGCTTCATGTTAGATGCGCCACTGCATCTAACACAATGTCTTCCAACTATGCCCGCCCAAACATTAACTTTTCCGGGCCTCTGAGTATGAACTTCCTGGAGCCACTGAGTATTCTCAGTTGACCAATAACGATAATTGTGTCTATTTACAACACTATTTAAATGGAAAGTAGCTTCATCCGAGAAAATTATGTTTGTTGCAAAATTATTATCGTTATTGCATATTTCCATCATCAGCTCACAAAATTCAGTTCTTCTATCAAATCGTCCTCGTTCAACTCATGTACCAACTTCATCTTATAGGGATGTAACTTCTGCTTCTTAAACAAGTTTTTTACTGATTGATGAGAGACATTAAAATCCATTGCCAATGCCAATGTCCTAGACGATTGTGTTAGAGTTTCTTGTATTGAGAGCATCATATCCAAAGCTTTGTCTTCTCCGGTTACTGTTTTAGGTCGACCTGATCTAGCAGCCTCCTCAGCACTGCCTGTTTCTCGAATTTTTTTCAACACTCGACACGCAGTTGACTGATTTATTGGAGGCCTATTCGGATATATTTCATTGAAAAGTTGACAAACCTGAAAATTCTTGTAATTAGGAAAATTTTAATTTTTCAGCTGTCATTATCTCGGAAACAGTTGAAAATAGCTGAAAATTTTAAATACAAAAAATTCATAGTTTTCTCAGTAAAATCCAAATATACAATCACATACAAGATGTTTCATTTGTTGGTCTGGATAGCAAACAAACCAGAAGTGACAGAAACAATTCGTCTAGGTAGAAAAGTAGGAAATAATTTACTGAGCAGCTTTCATTAAGGTCATTTTTTCGTATACGAGGTAATTAAAAAGTTACAGGTATTGCGCGACTTTTTTGCTACCCTGTTATTATAATATATTTTTCAATTAAATCAAGTTAAAATTTCCTCGTTATTTGGAGAAAACGTTGGCAAATCTATTTCAAATAATTTTGTAACTTAACAATCGAACATTCAACTTGTTGAAGATTTTTTTTTAAATTTTCTTACTTTACTATACAAACTACAGATCGTTTCACCAGAGTTCATACTTGACCTTGGAACTTGACGAAAAAGGGTCGTCGTAGATCAATTCATACGACACATTCAATTTTTTTGACAAATTAAAATGAATGACTTCTGATTTAAGAACTGACGAACGTTTTTGACGTCATTGATTTGTTATAGTAAAAGGAAGCCAAATTATGTCAAAAGTATGAACCCTCGTGAAACAAAGTTTACTTATTATTGAAAGAAATTTGAGTTAATTTATGTTGCATTAAAGAGGGACCAAACATTATATCTTATCTGAATCTAACTCCCTGAACTAAATGGGGAAACACAGTTCGATTCATGAATTTCAATTTTTCAAAGAAGCAAAAAATGGAGCTGCCGTCGACTCTTTAACAAATATTTATGATTCAATGAAGGCATTCCAATGCCTCTTTATAGGTAGATACCTATTTTTTTTTTTTTTAAATTGTGTCCAGCACACGGACTCATTGAGTCAGGACAAAGTTTAAAGTCCGTCGATTTTAATCTGATACTCCAAAGGAATGTGAGCTGGTGGCTTTCTACCTTAGAACGACAATGGTCACCTGACGTCACACCTGTTTTTGCCATATGCTTCACCCCCTCGCTCCTCATATGGAAAGTGTCGGATTAAAAACGACGGACAATACGTTGAATTGAATTATGTCGATTTTGAAATAGTAGGGTTGGGTCGACTCGAGTTTCCATGTTATACCCCTAAAATATGTAAGTGAAATTAGGTCCGCACTCGAAGTTGACACACAATGTCCATTAAATATTATGGTAGGAAATCTCATACATTATTCACATTCACAAATCGGCAAAGAATTTTTAAGGGGACGCCATTAACTTTGGACCAACTCGTGTCTATTAGGTCTAAGTATCTATATGTTGCAACAGAAAGAAAACAAAAACAGAGAATTGATAAAAAAAACTCACTTTCTACTTTCTGTTGAGATGTAATTATTTTAATAATTAGTCAGGTAACATAAGGTAGGATATGTCATACTATACTTCTGTTAACTTGTCATATTTTTTTTGTCATGCTGCAGTAGATTTTTGTCTGTCTTAATATCGTCTGTGTGTCAATTAGCTACCACACTTTATCCTGGTTAGTTAATCTTGTATGTATTATTGATAAGTATATCTATAGTATTGTGAACAGTGAGGATTAAGAAAAGGCGCCTTATTTCTACCTTCAATTGGTTATCTATATATATTATTATTATATATATATATAAAACACAGTTGTGTTTTGTGTAAGCACTTATAACTCGAGAAGGGCTGGACTGATTTTTATGATTTTTGCTTTATTGGATTTGTCTTTGTCTATTCTAACATAATAAATCGAAAAAATCCAAAAAAAAAACAAAAACAAAAAAAAAAATTACATTTTTTACTTATTTATGAAAAAAAAATCAACCAAAGCCAAATTCACCATCGAAAAAAACTGAATTTAATTCAGCTAATAGATACGTTAACACAACATTTAATAGGTATTTAATAACTCAGAGGCGGTACGAAGTTCGCCGGGTCAGCTAGTATACTATACATTTAAGTCTTGGTGAACACTATTTTTCAACGTTAATAAATATTGCGAACAGGACAGGAACAATCATTTATTTGTCAACGAGAAACGGGATCATCCACAAACTTACATCTACTGCATTGAATTAATTATCATCAGGTTATGGGCCCAGGGCGGCAAAGTAAGACATTGTGCATTGTAGGAAGTCATGAAGTTAGTAAGCAAGTCAGGAAATCAGTAAACAAGTCAGGAAGTCGGCAAACAAGCCAGGAAGTCAGCAAACAAGTTAGGAAGTCAGTGAAAAAATGAGAAAGTCAGGAATTTGGTTTGTGTTGAAAGTCTTTTCAGTTATGTCACTTACAATAATTGCGTGCTTTGTTTGATTGAGGAAAATTCAGAGATATTTGAATTCATTATTACTCATTACAGACAATTTTTTATTAGATTGTAATATTTTGTTATAACAATCAATTGAATATTGTAAGGTACAGGTAATTTTTTGAAAATCATGGATTCGATTAAATCACATTTAGAAATTTTATCTAAAGATTCACGAGGACATGTAAACTATGTTTCCTGGAAAAAATTGAGGTTTATTTTTGGTCACAACAGGTATTGAATTAAAGCCACATGGATTAGACGTTGACGATATAGTGAAGGCTTGGATTAAGCAAGATCTTGAAGCAAAAGCCTTAAATGGCTTGAACGTAGGCAGTAATATATATAACAATAAAAATTGCAAATTGTAATTTATCTTATCAAATGTTAAATCGACTGGATACTTTGTATGGCAAAAAGTCAGAACTTACTATTGAAGGTTTGTAAAGACAGTTTTTCACATAAACATACTGAAATTTAGTTAAATTCAACCGTGGTCAGAAATCCCATAGGTAGTGTGCGGGGTCCTTTGGAAAGTCACATGTTGAAGCAAGTTCTCAAGGAAATTCAAGTGTCGAATGTTTCAAATGTGGTAAGGAAAGTCGTGTTAAGAAATTCTGTTATAATGCACCATGTGCCATATATTAAACTTATTGTAAAGAAAATTATGCCTTTAATAATTGTAGGTAGAAAGGTCATTTTGCCAAGGAGTGTGCCAAAACAAATTCTGCTAAAAATGCAGCTAATAAAGCAAGAAGTCAGAAAAATTAAAATACAAATCATCATGCAATTATCACTGTTAGTCTGTCGTATGCAAATGTGCAAATAAAATCTGAACAGAATTGTAATGATTTGTGGTGTCAAGATTGAGCTGCCACACAACATATGATTTCTCGCATGGACGGGTTGGACTTGAAGTACCTACCATGATTATTATTGGAGATTCTTTACTCAACTGGAAGGAATAGGAATTGGTGAAGTAGAATTCGAAGCTTTCAATGGAACTGATTGGTATCAAGTCATATTGAAGCATAGAGAAATATAATAGTAGTAAACTACGAGAGACGTTTGTTTAATGTAACAATCTGGAAGTGTGTTTGTGCACATACCCGTAGCGTATTTCGCATGGTGTGGCAGATTATTGAACTAATTACTTCGATCGTTTCTGACAACTTGGTTTAATTTGTCTTTGTCAGCAACTTGCCCGAAAATGTTCTATCTTTTTTTAACACATACAAAATACAAAATTGTCAAAATTTGACAAATTATTGAATCGTCTATGATTGAATCCGAAGACCATCAATCAAAAAGCTGAATGCTCATCATCATAACTTAAAATTTCTTCTATTATTTATATTAGAGAAATGAGAAAACATTCTGTGATCATAAATATTAATTAATGAGACAAAACCGACACCAATAATAGTGTGTTTTCGAATTTGCGATGATGCGAGATGCAGTAAAAAGGTAAACACAAAGCTTATAATACAAACATTTTTAGTTACTGTATATTTATAAAATTGGAATAAAAAAATAAGTTTGTTTGGAGATATCTCAATTTTTGTATTGTTCAATTACCTCCTTGACCCCCTTAAGGAATCTCATTGCATCTAATTTGGATTTTTTAAAAATAAGTTCTGTTATCGTTCTAAACAGTTGCTCGGTAAGTTTTAGCAAGTTTTTTCAACAAATGTTTTGCTTTGCAATTAACTGTTTTGAGCGTTTACAGTACTTTTTTTTTTTAATAAATCTTAAATAAAATCAAAGTTAATAATTTAATTATTCAAAAAAGCCGCCTTTTCACTGTCGGTAAAGAAGAAACCTGCATTTAAACAATGTTCACTCTTTTATTGCTGTCCGTAGCCACCAGAGGCGCTAACGTCGACATTGTGCCAATTAAGTATAGGGGAATGACTTCTCTCGTAGTTTACTACTATTATATTTCTCTATGTATTGAAGAATGTCTTGTATGTGCCAAAGATGACTTTTAACCTTTTTTCTGTCACTCAAATTTTAGATAAAGGTTATGTGCAATGCGCAGTTGCGGAAAAATCTATTTTTAAAAATCCAGATGATGATGATATTGTAGCAATTGGTGAAAGGGACGAAAATTGGAATAGAATGATCTTTCGACGTGAAAAGTTTGAAAAATGTCTTATGACTCTTTCTATTAATATTTGGCAGGAAAGACTAGCTCATCAAAATATCAAGTATAATATGTCAGAGATATCTTGAAAAGAAATGAAATAAGGTATGTTGATGACTGGAATGGATTATATATGTCCAGGATGTGTTGATGGAAAGCAACATAGAATTAGTCACTTAAAAAACCCCAAAATTGCTGAGAAACCTTCACATTTAGTACATATCGGCTTATGTGAAATGAATGCCAGATCTTTAGGAGGAGCCTAATGTTTTCGAACAGTATATTGCCTCAAAACTAAAGATTAAGCTGTTTCCAAATTGAATGAACATGAAGATGACTGAAAATTAATTTGAAAGAGAAATAAAGTGTTTGAGGTCAGACAATGGGACAGAGATAAAGAATGCTGATACAAGAAGGTTATTTGAAGGACTTGAGTTACAACT